ACACACACACACACACACACACATACACACACAAACACTTTGCACGCACTCATTATCACAGCAGCCAAGCAGGTACCAATACACAAACCCAAAGCTGTAAATTTGTTAGAATTTTTAAAAGATCTTCCTCCATGTCCAACCTATTAAAAGTTATGTTATATTTTTTATTTAAATCGGTGAATTTAAACCTGACTAGCTGCTAGATACCAGCTAGATTGTAAAATAAGTCCATTATTCTCCCCGTAACTGCCTATGTCACCTGTAACAATGTAAAAATCACAAGAAATAATCATTCTAGCTGAGGAAATGATTAAAACATATTTATTTTCAGCGAGAGAAATCACAAGTGGTATTACATCGCCTCATCGCGCTGCATCGCTCAGAATGTATCCAGACAATTTTTCATTAGGCTTCACTTTCTCGTTGTGTGTTTAGAAGGGCAGTTACTAGTCTCTGTCTCTGATCAAAACTGACGTGACTGACAATAATAAAATCATTAAAATGGTTGAACTCAATCTCATTTGCCAGCCATGTCATAATCTCTTATATTATTACAACAGTGGCCACTCAGAAATGCCATCAATTGGTACGAGGGCAGTTCTGTATATGTTCTGGGATAGGTGGGATATTTCGTGTCCAGAGCATAAACTGTATATGAAGAAGGATGACATGCTCCCCAAAAGTAAAGCCAAAGTGTCTCGATTGCCCCATGCTGGCTGGCTGCAGTATAGTTCATAATAATCCCTGTGTCCTCCATGTAAGTGGATAGGACATGGGCCGAACCAAAAAGTCAAAATGCACTTACATTTTTTTCCCCTCATCTTTAGTGATTCCGAAAAGTTTAAAGGGTAAACAATAATGATAAACTAAACACAAAACTTGGCTGAAATACCCACCTACTTAAACTCAAATGTTCTGTGAAGTTCTCTCTAACAGCTAGCTAACAAGCAATAACATAACAATAAACAGTGCCTTCTGGTCAAAGGTACAAACTAGGCATGTTCAAACATACATGCACAGATGAATGGATGCACTTTATACATGTGGACAAACCCATTTTTCAATGATTAATATCAATTCAGAATATACCATAAATATGTGCATGATGTAGCGCACAATAAACTCAACCAATCTTGTTCCAACACTCTGAAAAACACCAAATTATAACTTACATGATCGACCTGACTTCCATTACTCTCATATAGTGTCTCCTGTTGCAGCTTTCACACCTCACACATGCACGCGCAAGCACACACACACGTTCCTTCCCACGATCCGCCGTGTCATGGCTGAGTAATATTGATGCATTTTAATGGAACTGTAACATCTCCAGCCGCATTCTGAAGTGATATCTATGAATAATGGATCAGTGAATATGAATATGTGTTGTAGTTAGGCAAGTTCTCTCCTATATCTTCTATCTTGTGTCTCTGCCTGCCGACATTTCTGTGACTTTTATTCCGCTGTCGAGAGGGGAAGCTGGTTGTTAGATAAGAATCGAAGGAATGAGAAACTGAATTTTTCTGATTCTGTTCGGTTTTTCAGATGAGAAAAGTGAATCCATCTGCAGTTTGTCCTCTTGTCACTTACTTCTTTTGTCTGTCTCCTGCACCTGCTATCTCTCTTTTCTGCTTCCCTGCTACTCATTTATGTCCTTTCTCTCCTTATACTAGTTCATTGTTTCGCTAAAACAATTAGTCTACCACAATAAATTACCATTTTAATGCATAAATCCTTTTATTTATCAAGCAAAAATGCTTAAAACGCAATTGTACCAGCACCTTAAATGTGACGATTTGCAGTTCAATATTATTGCTAAAATGTGCTTAAAAGTACTGATACACAAACAGAAGTCATTTCACAAATTATTATATTGAAGTAATTTATTTACCATCAATATTATCTAGAAAAATAATAATATAGCACCATACAAAATGCACAACATTAACATTGAAGAAGGATGGTTTTAGCTTGCTAGAGACCTTTTCCTTTCTTACGATGAGAACTTCCCGTCCAGGTTTAAATGAGCACAATAAGAATCTCCTGCTGTCACACTATCAACTGAAGTAACCGCGGGATCTACGGTAATTCAAGATCAAAGCAATACAACTATACACGGCATACTGTCAAACGGGTTTCATCCCTGATTCAGCACCAATATCACAGTGGTAGTGGCATAAAACGTGCAATAAGCATCAGCACTGTCTGCAGCAGCTGACCTGACTGAGAGATCAGTGTGAGATGTGTGGATTATTTCTGCACGAGGAGCTGCAGCACATACGCAGCAGTGTTCAGTGTGAGCAGTGTACAAGGAGAGGAAGGTGAAGAGTTTGTGAGAAGGAAGGATGTGAAGGATTACTGCATACAGCATATACACTAGGTGAGCAAAAATGTGCTTGTATTCAAATTAACTCCTCTGTCTCCATCTCCTCGCCTACCGCACACCTCTCCCTCTCTTCCCTGCATCTCTCCCTCCCTTCCTCCCTCCTGGTCTCCTCCCCCTCCTCTCCTCTCTCTCCTCTCTCTCTCTCTCTGTAGTTGTTCTACCGTGTGACAGAGGAGAGGGCTCGCCAGGCGGAGCTCTATTTGGTGGGCATGGTGTGCTACTACGGCAAGCACTACTCCACCTTCTTCTTCCAGACCAAGATACGCAAGTGGATGTACTTCGACGACGCCCACGTCAAAGAGGTGAGACACAGTTTGGAGTCTGCATGCTGCAGCATCGGGGAGGGTGCACTGTACAGTACTGTTTCTGCTGCATCCCCAGCTGTGCCGTGAGAGCAGTAACAACTGGAACTATGATGTATGTCAGTTTGAGTTCTGCATGCTCTAGTCTGTGTTAAAGGTTTAATCCCCATCTCTGTTTAAATCTTTGTGCATGTTTCAGAGCTAAATCTGGTTTTATGTTGTGTTACTATATTTGAGCATGTCCCATAAAGCTGGAAAGCATGTGTGTCAATGTGAGTGTGTGTTCTCTGCTGTGCTTCCAGATTGGCCCGAAGTGGAAGGACGTGGTGTCTCGCTGTATCAAAGGCCACTATCAGCCCCTGCTGCTGCTCTACGCTGACCCCCGTGGGACGCCGGTGATACTGCAGGACAGCCCCAACCCCTGTACCAGCTCCAACCCGCAGCTGGAGCTCCAGCACTGCAGCAGCAAGGCTGGTTACGACAGCGAAGACTCCGGTACAGCAAAGATAACACACTCTGCCACAGATCAGATCAGATTTACTTTGTGTTTATCATCCTGGGGCCATGCAAGGTTACGGCTTTAGAGCTCCGACCTTCAACCCTATAATCCAGCCTCTGTGCCTCTGCCTATATACGCTGCAAAGACTGAACTTAAATAAACATATTGAGATGCAGGATTAACTAAAAGGTCATCTCTCTTTCTCTCTCTTGTTCTCTCTTAGGTCGGGAGCCGTCCATATCCAGCGACACTCGCACTGACTCTTCAACAGACAGCTCCAGTCACCGAGCCTCCCGCAGCCGATCTCTCCACCAGTCGACGGGCAGCCACCTCTCCAGTGAATCCCAGACCACAGTGGTCTGTAATTACGACATTGGCACACCACCACACATTGCTGACGCCAGAGGTAATGCTGATGTCCAGAAGCAAAGTTATCTACACACAAAGTGCAGCAAATCACGACACTTCTGAAGCTCCAAACAACCGCAAATACACAAGTGACCACAGTGTTTCTAGAGTCAGGGAAAGTGCAGAGCTGCAGTATTTAGTATAGGAACAACAAAGAGCAAACAAAGGTCAGTTTTAGAATTTCAGCTGAAAGTATGTGTTTTGTCCCCGTGCTTCATCACTGCAGACTCGTTATACATCTCGTTAGTGGCTATTTTCATATTTACTTGGACTGCTGCCTACATAATTATTCCCTGTGGGATAAATAAAAAATTTATTGGATTTACTTTCTCTTTTTTTCTCCTCCTCCTCTCCTCCCATGTTTAGAGTCAGCAGTGGAGGGTCCTCCTCGCCCTCCCTCTCCTCCCCTGCCGGAGTACAAGGAGACGGCTGTCTTCCTCCTCTCCTCCCGCCGGCCCCTTACCTCCTCCTCCTCCTCCTCTCGTCCCCTGTCCTCTTCCTCCTCGTCAGGAGTAGGGGGCTGTGAGGGTGGGGCAGGCGGCCCCCACTGGGAGGATGAAAGCACCAGCAGTGAGAGCAAGTCCAGGTACTGCAGCTCTGACAACACATTGACTTCAGACAGCCTGCCTATGAATTGCAATCAGACCATGTAAACACGCACATAGATTAATATGTTAATGCACCATCACTGTTATCAGCTACTCTTAGATATGTAACATACACATAAATTAGTCTAGTGAACCCTGGAGGTCAGGCGCCCGCCAAAGGGTCACAAGGTGAATCTGAGGACGTGTGAGATGATTAATGAGGGAGGAAACGAGAACAAAGTTCTGCTGTTATCAAAATGATTTTAGTCAAATATTGGATAATAAAAGTAACAAAAAAAAAAGTAACATAGGATACAACTACTCAATTAAATAAAATGTGCACTATTATTGCAATAAATGGTTAAAGCTCTTTGTGACAGACAGTGATGAAGTTATTTTGTAGGTCATGTGTTTTTAGTTTTTTCACTATCTTGTAAAAGATAGTGAAAAAAGTTGTAAAAGTAATGTAACTTTTATTTTAATGGGATGTGACAGTATTCTTGTCTCTCCTGAAACCATGTAACATCCTGTGTAAAATCTTTGTCCCTTGGTCTCTAGTTCTTCTGGGGGCCGCTACAGGCCAACCTGGAGGCCCAGGAGAGAGGCCCTGAACATCGACAGCATCTTCACCCGCCAGCGAGGCTCATCTCTGGGCTACAACACGCTGCCTGGTCCCTCTCTCCCTTCAGAGCCTCACGACTCCCTCCCTTTGGCGGGACCCGCTCCACCCACAAAGCCAGGGCTGCAAGACGTGGAAGGGAGGGACATCAGGGAGTTTGAGGTGGGGTTTGGGCTGGTCGGGCAGCCCAGGTCTCTGGGCAGCGGGCGGACAATGGGTCCACCTGCTCCTCCGCCTCTGAGAGGGGTGGAGCACCAGCCGCGTCTTATCCAGAGGATGGAGAGTGGCTACGAGAGCAGCGAGAGGAACAGCAGCAGTCCAGACAGGTAGGAAAACAACAAATAACCATTTCTGTCTCTACTTCTCTCTGTCGTTTATCATCTTTCTCTCTCTTGCTTCTTTGTCACGCTTGTTTTTCCGTTCAATTTCACTCTATCAGCATCAAATACAAGCGTGACTCTACCACAAATGGTCCAACAAGAGTCAGTCAGAGCAAAAAATCGATCAATCAACACATTGGTCTGCCTGCTGAACCTTTTGTCTCTTATCTTTGTGTGTTTTCTTTTTGTTTCTCTCCACAGGGAGGTGGGGCAACAGAAACGGGTGCTGATGTCAGGACCTTCATGGCGTTCGGTGCCAAAGTCAAAGAGCAGCGGTGCCATCCTGCAGGAGCTGCCCTCGCCCAGCTGGGGTAGCGTCACCAACACAGGTATGTATCGGTGCATGTATGTAATTTGCATTTAATTTGATCTTATATTTTTCAGCTCTTGTACGTTTGCCTTGTGTTTTCCGGCTCAGGGCGCAGCGAGCTGGACGAGCTGCAGGAGGAGGTGGCGAGGAGAGCCCGCCAGCAGGAGCAGCAAAAGCGGAGGGAGGCCGAGCGGGAGGCCGCCATGGGATTCAACCCCAAACCCAGCAAATTCATGGACCTGGACCAGCTCCAACACCAGGGTACGGATGAAAGAAGGATGAAAAGAGAAATAGAGGGTAGGAGCAGTTGGTGGAGGAGAAGGAAGAAGTTAAGATTGTTTTGGGAAGAGGAAGAGTTGTTGAGTTGGTTCACAAAAAGTATAAAAAATATATTTTCTCATCACCTCTGAACTGCTAGCAGCAGTTTGTAGGGACCTTTTCTTTCATCAAGGTCCAAACGTCACTATCAGCACAGCTGGATACTTACGAGTGAAAAGTGAGAGCATATGTTTTCTTTGGCTAATTTGTGTGAACTGGAGGAATGTCAAAAACATACCTGCATTTAAAGCTGCACAGGGCGACATCGTTAAAGCCAGATAAAAAAGAGCCGCTGCTGACTCGTCAATTTGTCAAAAGTGTTTCTCTGTTAAAATCTCGCCTGGTGCAACTTTAAGGTCACATTATCACCTGTTGTGTTGTTTAGCGGTGACAGTGACTTGTGTGTCTGTGCCTCTGTCTGACCTCCTCTTTGTCCTTTCTCCCATCTGTTCGTCTGTCTCTCCATCTGTCTCCCTCCGTCTGTATTGTTTTAATAGTTCAGCGTGTGCTACTTAAACTTAAGCTATGAATATTGGGTTTCTGTGTGTGTGTCATCGATGAGCGTTTTATGTCCGAATAAGTGTGTGTGTACGTGTCTGTGTGTGAGTCTAACAGTATCATCTGAGTTTCTTAAAGCTCTGATGTCCCAGCACGGTATGTTTGTTTGAGTATGGTTATATTCATTTTCATACATTCATTCAAAATGTACTTTGTGTGTGTGTTTGTGTGAGGGAAATCTTTGTGTGTGTGTATTTTAATGCATATTTGGTTCAGGCATCCTCAAATGTTTCTATAGTTGGGTTTTGTGTGTGTGTGTGCGAGTGTGAGAGAGAGAGGACAAAAAGAGAGAGAGAGCCTTGTATGAATTGCAGGTGTGCAGGTTTTCCCCTCCAGCTCAGCACTAACTAAATCTCTATCAGGGATTATTCTTATGCTGTGTCCTGTCTGTCCTACTGTGTTTGCCTCAGTGTTTTCAGCCTCATGCACCTGACACACACATGGACACACACACACACAACTCTCTGCGAGTACACTCACAACCTTGATGAAGTGAAAGGACGCCTCTCGAACGAGCAGATGGCATCACTATCAGTACGATTACATAACCGAACTTGGGTTTCCACGTCTGTATCAATGGTTTCAGGCGGACTCCAGACAATCTGCCTCGGTGTGTTAGAGGTCGTAACAGCTAACAACAACAGAGCAGCCTTCAGCCCACCGTTATCCTGGCTCTCGCAATCAAAAGTATGCACAAAACAAGCCAAAGTGGGTGACGGCTGCTCCTTTGTTGTCCTTTTCTGCATCTTTTCAATAGCAAACTAACACCATCCAGGGTGCGTTCACAAGGCTACGCACTAAAGAGAGCTTCCTCCGAAAACCAATTTTTTGATCTCTCCTTTTTTCTTCCCCCTGTCTGGTGTCTGTAGCTCAATGAACGTAGCCTCAACTTTGCTCCTCACTTTTCTAATGTTGACTCAGTGCAAATTTACATGTTGATGCATTAACACAAGAGTTTGTGAAGTGGGAGGTGATGAAACTACAGGATAGAGTTGAACACACTGTGACCGTACAGTGACAGAACTGACTCTTATCTGTTAGCCTTTATATAGACATGTAAAGTTAGCTGTAAATACAAAGATGGACGACTTGACTGCTCCCTAAAAGTGATGCCAAAGCGTCTTGATCACCTCCTGGTGGCTGGCTGCAGTATAATGCATAAATCTTGCCTCCTCCATATTAGTGGATGGGATATGGACCAAACTAAAACATCAACATACATGTTAAATAGATTTTTCTCAAAGATGGTTTCTGTTGATTTAGGCTGGTCTTATTACAAGTTCAAATTTTTCGCAAGTTTAATTTTGATTGAACTGAAACCACATTAATCGATGTGCCTGCAACTGCGGCTCAACTCCCTGATCGCTACCGCACAGACTCTGACTCCGTTTTACGTCATTAGAGCATGTGCTGGTAATCGGGATATTTTGGCTTTGTTTCTCGATGAGGAAGTAGAGATGTGCTGATATGGTTTTGCTAACATAACACAAATCATCATATCAAACAAATATAGGCTATAGTGTGAAAACTACTGAGTCAGGATTGCTAAATTTGATTGCTTATTACTTCAACCGTTATTTTGTAAGAGAATAAATGTGAAATTTCATCTTTAGAGTTAAATTCTTCCCATTCATAAAAGCAATAAATCCAAAAAGAATCTAAACCTGAAGGGAATTTAAGTGTAAATTTTAGCTGTAGCTCACTGTTAGCAGCGCACACAGTTGATTTGTAAACTCATCAAACATTTTTATGAATGATTGAATCCAAACTATTCCTCTCACTGCTGTAAGGTTATAATAAAAGAGGACTCTTGAAAATTAATCCTCCCACTTTGCAACTCTGTACCTGTATAAAAACTCACATGTTGACTTACAGTAGAGGAGCGTAATGCATGCCGGCCCCCTCATAACCACTCCTTCTGCTCTGCTTCTCTTTTCTCTGTCACCTGTTTACATCTTCTTTTTCTCTCACCCCTTGTACCATTCTCCTTTGTTTTCTTTCTCTATCTTCCCACCCTGTCGGTGTGTATCTCTGTCTTTTCTCCTTTCTCTTATCTCCCACTCTATTGTTAACATCTTCAGCTGTGCTCAGACCCCTGCATGAGGCTAACGCTCATAGCGGATTGGCTGTAGCTGCGTGCATGAGGAGCACTGGGGGCCCAATCAAACGCAGGCAGGAACAGGAAATGGAACTGGAGGCAGGAAGCGCCCGTCCAAAGGGGCCTCACAGGTACCACCACTGTCCCCCACCTTATGTGTCCGCAACGGTGCCTGTGTCAGTTTCACCTCTTAACCCCTTCCTCCCGCCTCCCCCTTCCCTCAGTTCGTGTGTGTCCTCAAACCCACCTCAGGACCCCCTACGTGTGTGTCCTCTGGGTGTTGGCCGTCTAAAAATACACCTCAACACCCTCATGTGTGTGCCTTCAGCTCTGGCTGCCCAAAAATCCCAGAAACCCCTTTTTTGTCACCCCTAGCACTGCACTCTCACATCCTGCTGTGCGTCTGTGTATGTGTGTGTGTTTGTGTTTGCGTTCTCAAGCTCACCCACTTGACTATACACAGAAACTTTTTATCCCCCTGTGTTTGTGTGTTTGTTGAAGTGCCACTGAGAATAATAAGAGAGTGACTGTGTCGCTCTCTGCTTTTTTGTGCTTCACTGCTTCCCCGTCATTGTTGTCGTGCTGCTCTTTGTAGCTGTGTGCCACCAAGGCTTCCCTCTACTCGTTTTGTGCTGCTGATCATTCCATCCATGCACCGTGAAGCTGCGGTCCGTCACTGTGTGTCTGACTCGTGTGTCTGACTCGTGTGCTGCCGTGAGGTTGCAGTCACAGATCCTGCACTGTGGTTTGTTTTTATTTGCTTTTTGCTGCTGTGTTTTTTTTTTGTATGTGTGAGTTTAGGGTAAAGTGCAGGAGACTTTATGTACAAGAAGTGACAAGTTAATTTTATATTTAAGAGTGAGATTGCAAGTTAATGCAAGTTAATTGAAACATTTATTTTGGGTAAATAATTATGATAACTAGACACAAAAACTAGGGGTTCTAGCACTTCATAGATATTGGAACCAAAGACTCAGAAATATTGGTACTTGATTTAGTTTGTATAAGTATTTGATCTGTTGATTAGTCAGAGATTCAAAGATTCAAAACTTTATTGTCCAGCAATGCAGGCATTAATGTAAACTTGGACATTAGGGGATTGACTGTGAAGGTTTCACTATTTCCTGGTATTTTGTAACTGCTGTTGTGTGGTCTAGTCCTCTGGCTTTTAGTTTTTTAGCTGTAAATTCTCAATAGACTAGAAGAAGTCACTCTGCATCTCAGTTAATCCCATGTGCATTAAAGGTGGTCATTGTAATCTTACAATCTAATCTTGTGAGAAAATTGTAGGGATGCTGCACTTGGAGCCAGCAGAATAGATATCGAGATTAGATTGGTAGTTCTGATTTAGTGGTGTTTAGTATAGACTCAGTTTCCAAACAGTTTCAACTGAGGGGAATTTGTTAAAAAATTAATAAACTGCAAATCTGAACTGCTAACATCAGGACTGAAAGGGAAGGAAGAGGAGGTAGAGCTCAGCACCCAGCCTCTTTTATTACCTTCCTCCTCTCCTCTATTGATCAACACAAGCCTCTGATTTATGGCTCGCTGCTGCAAAGCCTGCTGGGTAATTACTGAGGCTGAAAAGAGACGGGAGAGTTAATGTGGGGGATGGGGGCCGGCTCGCACGTAGACACACACAGGTCTGCGTGCACTCGCATCAAAATAGACACACACAAATTTACAGACTTGCTGTTCACACATACCAACACACACAATAGTTTACAACACACTGATAGACTCTACAGAGAGGATCCACTAATGTTCAACATATATCATACTCTCCACATGTCAATGTATGTAAATCAATAAAGCAATATAGTGACCCGGTGAGGCTGACAGACTTTGTACTGTCTGAGCCACATTTATTTTCGGTGTTGATATACTGCACCAGTTCTCGGTGCAGCAGAGGGCAGATTGCTGTTTTTGAAATCAGATTACGGTGGGATCTTTTGTAGTTTGAGCCGGATATGTTCAGATCAGGAAGTTAAGCTTTTGCCTGATTCATAAACAGCATGGCTGTGAGATCCCACGCACAGAGCGATGCTTGCACAGGGCTGCATCATTGTGTGTTTCTGGCTGTTTGCTTTGTGTGTAAGTGAGTGCGTGTGTGTGTCTGCTTGTTTATGCTGGTATGCTGTTGTGACCTTCCCTCGGTGCAGTAACTCACCTGACGTCAGAGCAGTGTCTGTTTTTTATTTATTTTTTCTTCTTCTTTATTTTCGTGCCTCCGGCCGACTGACACCCTCCCTGTCCTCTGTGCTCTCCAGTGAACAGCCTGGCCCGGTCCAAGTACTGCTGACGCCCAATCAGGAGGAGGAAGAGGACCCGGCAGTGCCCAACCAGGACGCTGCTCTGGGCCCAGACCCACCCCCTCCACCCTATCGGCTACCTGCTCCCCCTCGACCCCCGTTCACCCTCAGCATCGCTCACCCTTACGCCCCTTCCGGCCAAGGAGGAGAGGAGGAGGCGGGTGGTGGATGCATGGGGAGGAGAAGGGAGGAAGAGGAGGATGGGATGGAGGGCACAGGGGTGAGGCTGTGTGAGTTGCTGCAGGCAGGGGGGGTGAGTGTCAGACCTCTAGGGAAGCACCTAGCCATCTCTTTGCCCTCACTTCCTCTGCGTCTCTGGGATACACACGCCACACACACCGCACACTCCACACACCTTGAACCCACACACACACCCCCTACCCCTCTGCCCTCCACTCCTCCCCCGTCCTCCCCTCTGGAAGCCTCTGGGCAAAGGAGACCTTCCGCGCCTCTCTGGCAGCCCCCCCAGCCCCAGTCCCCCACTGTCGCCTCTCAGCACTGGCTGAGGCACGGAGCGGCCTCTGACAGCGGCACGCGCCATTGGTCCTCCTGGAGCTTGGACCGCCCTGACGCCGTGGTGACGCCATACAGCACGCCCCCGGACTGCTGCATTCCCATCAGGCCGCAGGCGTCCAGCCAGAACTACAGCTACAGTTGCCAGTCCTCTCCTGGGCACTACGGCTCTCAGCATGCCCCAGGGCAACACGGTGACCCGCGCTGTGACCGCGAAGAGGCTGAGCTGTCTGAGCTTGACTCCCTTTACCAGGCCAGTCTGCAGGCCGGAAAGACAGGTACACACACACACACACACACACACACACACACACACACACACACACACACACACACACACACAGACACACACAGACACACAAACACACAATAAAATCCAGGGATAAATTACAGTAAA